CCCTCCTCCAGGGTCCGCGTTGACTACCCCGCGGGTCGGGACAGAGAGAGGCTCCCATCTGGAATGCAAGAGAATGTATCAGGATTAGAGTTAAAAGATCCAAATGAAACTTCTTTAAAGCAGATAGATGTTGAGATGTTTCAATCTCTACTTCTTAGAACAGGAGTCAGCAAACTACTGCCCATGGGCTAAATCCAGCCCATCACCAATTTTTGTATAGCCCATAAGCCAAGAATGTTTTTTTTTTAACAGTTCTGAAGGATTAAAAGATGGTTAAAAGTCTAAATAAGAATAATATTTTGTGAAATGTGAAATTGTGAAAATGTGAAATTATATGAATCAAATTTCAGTGTCTACATATTGACTATGGCTGCTTTGGTCCTACAATGGCAGGGTACTGTGGCTGCAATAGACCATATGGACCATAATCCCTAAAATAATTATAACCTTGTCTTTTAAAGAAAAGCTCTTTGACCTCTGCCTTAAGGAAACATTGTTCTATCTACCTAAATGCTTTTTTTTTTATTTCAGCATGTTATGGGGGTACAAATGATTAGGTTACATATCATGCCCTTACCCTCCCTGCCCCCCAAGTCCGAGCTTCAAGTGTGCCCAAATGCTTTGATTTAAGCCTGTCCTTGGTCAAGTACTTCCAGACCTCCCATCAGTTCTTGCCCTTTTAATCAGCTTCAAAGATCCCAAGGCTAAGTAGGAGGGAGTTCCTCTCTGTCCTTCCAGCCATGGGACTCTCTTCTCATTCATCTCCCTTTCCAGCACATTGTCTGCTTTTTTTTTTTTTTTTCTCTGAAACAGAGTCCTGCTCTGTTGCCCGGGCTAGAGTGCAGTGGTGTCCTCATAGTTCACTGCAACCTCCAACTCCTGGGCTCAAGCAATCCTCCTGCCTCAGCCTCCTGAGTAGCTGGGACTACAGGCACATGCCACCACATCTGACTAATTTTTCTATTTTTTGTAGAGACGGTCTTGCTCTTGCTCTGGTTGGTCTTGAAGTCCTGGCCTCAAGAGATCCTCCCGCCTCAGCCTCCCAGAGTGCTAGGATTACAGACGTGAGCCCCTGTGCCAGGCCTGCCAGCTGTTCTTATGACTCAAAGGTCAAGAGAGATCTCTTGAGTGGCTGCGGGTGAACACCAGTCCTGGCAGAACAGAATTGGGGTGTGGAACCCTGCACTGCTGCTTCTGTTCCCACCTTTCTGATCTTCTGTAAAATCAGCTTTTTCTATTCAGATATTTGGGGACAGAGGACAGGATTGAGCTGGTTTGTGGCTTTAGGATTGGTTGAGCCTTGAATGTTTCACAAAACAGCCCTAAGAGGTCAATGTCTGATTGGGTGCCCCAAATAAAACTTCATTTCGAGCTTGTGGTTGGTCTGCTTCAATCATCCCAGACAATTTCCACTTCCCTTTATATTATTTAGAAAATGAGCTAGCAGATCTGTGAAGGAAGCATTTCATGAGCTCCCACTGTGTATCCAATCCACTGCTGACACATTCCAGGTTCAGAGAGGGAGAGGCAGCCACTGCTGCAGTGAGACTTTGGCTGAGGGGGCCACACATCTAAACTCAGCAAGGAGAACACCCACTGGACAAGAGTCAGAGAGACATCACCACTGGTGCCATCACAGGGAACACCCCCACTACCGCTAACTGCACAGGGCAGAAGGACTAGACACCCAGGGCAGGGCTGGAGAGAGCTGGGAGACTCCCCAAATGAGGAAGGGCTTGAGCCAGGCATTGAAGGAGAGTGGTGACAGGGGACAATCCAAACCAGAGGGGCAGACTGAGCTCAGGACTGGGAATAAAGGAGGAATGTGGGGGCTAGGGAGAAGCCAGGGAGAGAGTTCTTGATGAGGAGCAGGGGAGAAGAACGTGAGATGGAGTTGAACTGAGGGTGTTCTTAACTGCCAGACTAATCTTGCTCTCATAACTGGAGACATACTATAATTCATTAACTGGAATCACAGGACAGAGCCATGCGGTCAGGGGTTTAGAAAAAGAGCCACCAGCAAGTGGCAACCAAGGTACATCAGAAATGACCACATCCCTAATGTTTTCGGTATTCACTCTTAAACCCACACCCAGGAAATTTATCTCCAGGAAACTCTGGTCCACTTACTGGCCACCAAGCCACATCTCGACCAGCCAAGAAGAAGCCTCCCACCGAGCCCCTGTTGGTCTTCAGCATCGCCTGAGGAGAAGGGAAAACAGGTGAGGGTCAAACCACAGCAGAAGCACCCAAGACAGCCATGATGCTCTGGCCAGGGTGCTGATTGGTGCAGGGTGCTGAGGGTGCTGACTTTTCCTGCACTTCTACAGAGAGAAACGTTTTCCTGGATTCTGTGATGTGGCATCCTTGTGGGACTGCAAATTAGTACAACCTGCATGGAAAACAGTATGGAGATCCCTCAAGGAACTAAAAGTAGACTTACCATTCAATCCAGCAATCCCACTATTGGTTATTTACCCAAAGGAAAAAAAAAAAGAATTTTCACCAAAAAGACATCTGGACTCCAATGTTTATTGCAGCACAATTCACAATTGCAAAGCTGTGGAATCAACCCAAGTGCTCATCAATTCGAGTGGATTAATAAAATGTGGTACGTGTATACCGTGGAGTACTACTCAGCCATTAAAAAGATAAATTAATACCTTTTGCAACAATCTGGATGGAACTGGAGACCATTCTCCTAAGTCAAGTGTCTCAAGAATGGAAACAAACACATGTGCTCACTATTTAATTGAAACTAACCAGTGAGCACAGGTGTGCACAGAAGGAAGTAAAACTCAGTGGAAATCAACCGGGGAAGGGGATGGTGGGGGAGGAGGAGGGCAAAAACCTACCTAACGGTTACTATGAATGCTATTTGGGGGATAGCCACACCTTCAGCTGGGACCCAACCATTACAAAAGTCATTCATGTAACCTAAGACATTTGTGCCCCCTTAATAGTTTAAAATTAAAGTGGAAGGAATTTAAAAATCATAGTTTCATAAAATCTGAGTTGGAAAGAACTTGAGAAATCACATTCCTCAACTTCTGTCCCAATTGTTTTGTTTATTTTCATCTACTCAATTCGAGAGATGGCTAAACCTGTGCTTGGAAGAAAATTTGGAGCCTCAAACTCATTCCTAGAACTAAAGAATGGATTAAATGTCCTACCTACTAAGATAGTGAGCAAACGGCAAAAGAAAGTAAAAAAAATGAGATGATAAAAATAAAGTCTTTATTCATTATGCCGGGATGCTGGGGACAGTGAACACAGTTAAGTCTGAAGGTGCCAGTCCCGGCTCTGTTCACACAGCAGGGTTGTTAGAGTAACTCAGTGTAAGCGTTATTTATGCCACACACAAGAAAATGATTCTGAAAGACAGTGACATTTGTAAAAGCTGTTAATCTTGTCTCAGCCTTGTCACACCACACCTTTCCCTCCCTAACACACCTTCCCCCTAATCTTGTGCCCACCCTGAAAGCCCACTGGTTTCCCACATACCCACAGCCCGACAGCCAACACCGCCACAAAATAGAAGACAGTGACAGAGATGTCTGCAGGGTTTTGGAGGCGCTCTGACAGTGCAGGCGGCTCGGGGGTCCCAGCCACGGTGCCGGGGCGCAGCGTGCTGGCCATGGCTGCAGGTGGCGCTTTCCCCATCTCGGAGATGACCCCGTCTTTATATAAGCTCTGGGTTAATCATCAGCCTCGAGCAGGTGGGGCGAGGTATCAGAGCCAGCTCCTTTGCTAGAGCACCTTTAAACCTCTCCTTTGACGCTCCGATGCCCCAGCCCGCCAGTGGTCAGTGTTGGCCTAGGCAGAGTATGAGAATGGGGGGTGGGGGACCAGAAAGAGGGTGCGAAGTGGAGGTGGGGGCGGGATGCCCGCTGAGTGCAAAGACAGGGTCTTGAAGGAGACTTGACCCGGTGGAGAGAGGTTTAGGGAGAGATGAAGAGAGACGTGTTTAACCTTTTCAGGAACTGTCAAACTGCTTTCCACGGCACTGCACCGTTTTGCATTCCCACCACGATCCACAGCAGCGCCAGTTTCTCCACATCCTCCTCAACTCTTGCTATTTTTTTTTTATTTTTTTAAATTATAGACATTCTAGTAGGTGTCAAGTGGCTATTACATTGAGGTTTTGATTTGCATTTCTAATACAATGACCAATAATGTTGAGCATTTTGCACTTGCTTGTGGCCGTTTGTACATCTTCTTGAAGAGATGCATATTCAAGGCCTTCGCCCATTTTAAAATAATGTGCTGTTTTTGTTGTTGAGATGTAGGATTTCTTTATATATTCTGGATATTAATCCCCTATCAATATTTGATTTGCAAATATTTTATCCCATTCTGTGGTTTCCCTTTTCACTCCCTGGATGGAGTCCTT